CAAGCGCCTGGCCGCACTGGTTTTCTGTTGTTGTTTTTTCGTTTGTGGTCCGGAGAGCGCCCTGTTGCTCAGCAGTGTGATTGCTGCAGCGCGCCCGTCGCGGGTCCCGCTTCAGAAGTGTAGTGAGTTTCGTGGCGGTTGCTGGCTGGCTGCAGACGGGGTGGTGGAGAGAGGGGAGAGCCCTGCCACTGCCTCTCCTCTGTCAGAGCGCGCCCTGTGAGCTGGTGCTAACGGGGCACCGGGTCCCCCGATACATCATCCTCCTGATTAGCCCAGTGGTTCGTTTTCCTCAGACCACAGCACAATTGCTGTGTTTGGATGATGTGAGCGTGATATCATAGGGCTACAAAGTGACTAGTGCTGTCACAGGAACAAAAAAGCCCGAGAGTCACTCACCTTTTTTAGCTTTGTGGATTCGCTGGTGCTACCGCGTCTCAGCTGCGCTTGCCGGGAGTGAGGAGGTGTTTGGAGGAGCAGACGAGAGGCAGACGCGCGGTGTTGTGTCGCTTCTCCTGCCTGACCCCAGCTGGGTGTACAGAGCAGAGGAAAAGGAAAGGGCAAAGCTTAAGAAGGTTCAGTTACTTCATTGTAAAGGTGTGTTTTGAAAAATACTGCTCTGTCTCTCCATGAGTGCCCCCAGGAGGGATTTCTCCTCTGAGGCTTGTTGCCAACCTGTCTCTCTGTGATTGCACCTGGTGGTACAATCTAGCCCCGTAATGATGCTTATCCTTTGGGAGACAGGAGGTAAAATGTAAAATTTGCCTGATGGTGATCTCAGCCTGTCATAAAATGTTGACAATTTAGAAAAAACACGTGCGGAGAGGGTGCAGTGCCTTTGAGAGCGCCCGAGTTCGTGCCACAGCTGTGGTCTCTCCAAGGAGGGCTGTTGGCAGGGCATTCTTCCTGAGGACCCAGACTTTGGGACTTTTCGCCCCATCTGGGCGAAGACTTGCTCGAATCGGGCACACTGCAGAGCTGTCTGTGTGGCGGGGGTTTCAGAAAAGGTGAGAGTGTGTTGCTCAGAATGATGGCGTGGACAGGAGTCTTGGGAGATATCATAGCTGGCTGGTGGCATCCAGGGATGACAGCTTTACTGCTGCTGGGACTCGGTTACTAAATCGACACCAGGATACCAAGCGTCTCAGTTAATCCTATTTCTTAGCATTTTTCTGTAAATATCAGTATTTGGATTACAAAAAAAAAAAATTCCCCTCTGAGAAATTCTGGGGTTTTTGTGTGTATTTTGAATCCAGATAGAAATAATGGTGTACCTTTGCAAAATGAAACACATCCAAATGTTTTAATTTGTTGTCGGTGTTTCAACTTTTATGAGAGATTTCATTATGTCATATAATTGCACAAGATTCAAGCTGATGAAATGAAAATTGAATGTTTCCTCAATCTCCTGTGAAATTAATCAAACCAATGAATTTTCATAAAATACTGTTATTTTGTTGAATCAGCGTTTTCCAAGATCCGTGAACTATTTTGGAAAATTTTTGGTCAATTCCAGTGGAAACCAGGTAATCAATACTGATAAGACATTTTGGTGGCTAAAACTCCATCCATGAGGATGACAGAATCTGACATTTAACACATCAAGATCAAGAGAGATAATTTTTAATAAAGCTTTAGTGTAGATTGAAGCCACTGTCGTTAGAACAGACTTTGGGATGTTTCTTCTGCATATGTGTCCATGTGAAGAAGCGTGTTAATACTGTTGGCATCACATAACTTTCATAAATCCCATTTTTCTATTTTTCTGGTATATCTCGTTTTCTGGAGTATCTTGGCAGCGTTTCAATTTTTCCTCAATGATCTTTTAAATAAAAACAGCATTACTGTTTTCTCATGCTTGTTAATGTAATGTTCTGATTGTTTTTTGTTTTATTTTGAAGGGTAGTGCTAGGAAGATAATGAGGCTGAAAACAGACCGATAAATAATAGCCACACTCAAGAAAAAAATGATCTTGAGGGTTTTAGAGATCTGATTAAAACATGTACATGAATAAATAGATATTACTGTTAAAATGAAATAATTTACTGTTCTAAAAGCAGTTCAATAGTTGTATATGTGTGTGTATATTCCTATTCAAGCACAGCAGTTAGAGCTAACAGCCTACTACTCCTTCTTTTGAAATTCAAATGCATAATCATCTTTCCATTATCTAGGTCAACAGAAGGCTGGGCTACCCCATAAAGTGGGAGAAAACAGGTAAAACAGAATTCACGAGAGGGCTTTCTGCCTGACCCCTTGGATGGAGGCTGTTTTTGTGGGTCTGCATCTACACTGGGCTTCCCAGGGCTCCAGTTCTGGGGGGATGTGTTAGCCTGAGTGCGGTGCAGCGTGAGTATGTGATGCCAGTGAAAACACTGAGGCCTCCAGAAGCTGGTGAGATGCCTCCAAGGGTCTGAAGCTAGCCAGTAGCAAGTGCTTTACACAGGGAATGTAGGTCCTCTAGATGTGGCCCTGTGGGTGCTTCAAACGGTGAAGTCATCCATCTTTTTAGGTGGCTGACCTTACGCTGCTCTTGTAAGATTTTGACTACCAGAAAAGAATCAAATATGGGCAAAAAGAAGTTTGTTGTTGAAGAAGCAGTGTTTTGGAAGAAGCGGAAGATATTCCCTCTCCCTGGAGTGCCTGCTCTCTGTGCTGGATTTAAACAAACTGAAAAGCCAAGGTTCTTACTGTGCTGAGCCTGAAGATGGATAGCACTACGAGTGTGGTGTTCTTTCGGTTGTTTCATGCCTGTTGTGCTGCAGTTTTTTGTCTGGAGAGCCCAAAATGACTTTGCATGGAGAACGTGGGGGAAAACCAGAGTTACGCACCTCCTGCAAGGTGTGGGAAGTGGTTTCAGTCACAAGCTGTAGACTCGAAATGGAAGAAAGAATTACAGTGTCAAGAGAGTTTTGTCTTAACGGGAGACATATGATGATTTCTGAACGGAGGGGTCACACCCGAGGTTAGATCAGACACATTTCCTATGGTTCTTTTCTGGAATAAACACAAGTTCCTGGAGTCTGGCAGTCATAAGGAAAAAATAAGCTGTGGTCTTACCTCGTGTTAGCTAACCCAGGGTGAAATAGTGAAAAGGCACACCAGCTGTGCTCTTTTAAGATTTGGTGACTTTTCCCTTCCCTAGAGGTTTTATCTTAAGCTGCTAATTCATGTGAAAAATAGAGCTTCTTTGTCATGGCTAGGAAGATGGCATCCGCTCCTGTCTTTCCAGCTACTGTATGGTAGTTACTGCATGCTCTTGGGGTTGAGAGTGTGTAGACTCTGGTTTCCATGAAGCCTTTGTTTTGAAAATAAAAGTATGTAGGTGCCTGGAGCTGACAAGTGTAACAACCGAATTTCAGAGTGACAGATGAAGTGCACTGATTTCACTGAATTGGAGAAACCATTTGAGATGATAAGCTAGTTTAGCCAAAATCCAGAAAAACTCATCAAATTTGAGACTAAGTGGAGATAAAGGTATCCAGATGTAATTAACCTTGACTTTGTGTGCTGAAATCTTTATTTTTGCCAAAAGTATGTGCATCAGCTACGGTGAGGGAGGTGCAGTGGGTGGTTTGCTGGCTGGCTGGCACAGACTGAAGCATCTTTCCAGGGGTGCAGCACTCTGCTGTGGAGGGGTCCAGCTGGAGCCCAGAGAAGATACCAGTGGGAGCAGAAGCAGCTCCTAGCTCACCTCCTGCCAGAGCTGAGTATTCAGCTTACTCATCAGCTGATGCGCAAGTCTACTCTTGGTCAGGTAACAGACATCTGACAAAAGTACCGCCCTTTAACTGCTTACTGCCCGTAGGCAGCTCTAGAAACATTGTTTGACTGTTGCTTGTAAAAACACGATCAACAGACACCCTGGTGCAAAGAGATTTTGTGCGTTGGCTGTAAACTGCAACAATTCAGGCGTTAAAAAGTGAGCATCAAGCCACCTTATTCTTGCAGCGTGTGTTGTATACAAGGTCTGTGGCTGGGACTGA